ATATATATATATATATATATATATATATATATATATATATATATATATATATATATATATATAAAATACGCGTATCAGTTCGACGACTTTATTACACACATGTAAATATACGCATCTATCACATATATTATATATTTTTTATATTTTATAAGCACAATGATCACTTATATAAACTCGGATCCTTATATCATTCCTATGTGACATGTCACGTGACTATCTATATATTTATAGAAACTATATATATTCCCTTTCTCCATATACTATATATAATTTAATTAAGTATTCACACCATATATTTGTGTCACGTGACACAGCCAACTTTAAAAGCTTTGTACTATATAGCTAACTAGAAAGCCGACCAACCAATTTTATTCCGATTATTAAAGCTCATCGGAAGATTAAGATGGTAGATCATACCATTAATGGGTGATTCAGTTCAATGCCAATTGTGTCATTGAAACTTGAGGCAGCAATTCCAGGATCGATCGCCTGTGATTGATAATCCATCGTGGAAGCCGCCTCCGTCCATAAACCGGAGTCGTCGAACTCCGGTAGATTAGCGTTCAGATTCCCATTTGACGGCTTGTGATGCACGTAGTTCTCTCCTGTTCTAGCTTCGTGGCTGATTTTATGATTGTGAAAAGTATGATAATTTGCAACGGTGTGTGCATTAAGATCAGGGATATCGGGAATCGTAGTGCTTTCTACTTTGATCTGGTTTTGTTGTTGTTGTTGCTGCTGCTGTTGATGCATGTATATTTGTATTTGCCTTTCGAATTCCTGCTGCTTTTTCATTTGCTCGATGGCCCGATGGTACCTGGCTTCCTTGGCTGCCTCAGTAACTGCAGGTGGCGGAGGTGGAGCCGGAGCTGTCTCGTCGGGAAGATTAACATGGGCATTGGGTCCGTACAGTCTCCGGGCAGCAGCGTCGTATGCTATAGCAGCTTCACGGGCGGAGTTGAAAGTGCCCAACCACACACGGCTGCCACGGTTGGGTTCGCGTATTTCCGATACCCACTTTCCCCACGTGCGTTGGCGAACGCCTTTGTAAGTACAAGAAGCATTCTCCGGACCACCTTTCCCTCTCATGCACCCTTTTCTTGAACTCGCCTGAGCAGTCCTCCGCTCTTGCTTCTTCCCTCCTCCGCCGCCGCCACCATTGTTTCCGACATTCATCAGAGAATTCAACATTTCTTTAACTCGATCTCCTGTAAATCTTATCACTTAGGACGGAGTGTACGGAGAAAAATCAGAGTTAAAAAACCTGACTTTATAGGACAGAAGTGGAGAACAGATAAGTGTTTGTGTGTGAATTATATTCTCCATTGTTGGATACGTGTCTGTGTGGAAGGAGAGTGAAATGGCAAAGGTTGGCATTGCACACGTGTTTTCAGATTGTGGATATGTTGTAGATCATCGCCATGTTTTTATGAGCATCCCATCTTTATATCTCACATTTCACTCATCACAGATGGACAGATGGAAACTGTCACCTTCTCTCTTTACTCCACTCTTGTTTCCATGGGTATTTCTGTCATTTCATTTGCCAATATTTCTTTTACCGTAATAATTATTCACCAAGAATTTTATATTGATCGAACAAATATAAATGTCTACAGGTAGTCGCCTGATCAATATATACTATTAATGGAATGCTTTGTTGCATTGTTTGACCAACTTTCTTCTTTGACTTTGCAGCAAATGCAGGAAGAAAATATATAGTTTTTCTGAGGCACAACAAATAATATGGCTTTATGAATGATTTTATCGAATATCAAGTGGCACATAATTGATAATTCAGATTAGATGCCCCATGCATTAATCCAATTGCGTGAAACTAAACGACGTGTTTTTTTTTTATTTTAACATCAATCAAGACACTTTGGGGTTTTCAACTTGTAATTTGATATGGATCAATGTTATAACACCCAATATTGTCACATCACATGCCAGGGTGATAGAAAGAAGAAAAAAGAAAGAATTTGATTAGTTGACGAAGGCAACAACCAATGTTTTGAAAACCGGACCGGAGACTGAATCGATCGTTTTACTGGTTCGATTGTTCAACTGGTCCAACCATTCGTACCGGTCTAAAAAAACCGGATGATGTAATAATTACATTATTATTAACTTTAACTATATAAAAAAATAATAATAATAAAAAATAAATATTTTTTAAAATTCCCGGTTTTTTGGCCTTTAAGAACCGGTCGAACCGGCCGGTTCGGTCAGGTTTCAAAACATGGGCAACAACCAATACATTTCTCGTTATTCCGGTACTTATATTTTCCCCCTTGAATAGCATGTCTATCCCGATCTTCCTTCATCTCTCTGTATAAATGAGTTGTACAATATTGTTTTGGTACTTGTACATCTTGATATGGATACAAAAAGGTTTAACCATTGGCAAAAAGAAAATGTTAGAGATGAGAAGGACGAGATTACGAGAATGATCAAATACCCATCACCCTTAAGATATATTGGTTTAATGGAGTACTTATGTACGGAGTACACACTCATATCAATGAATTTGATCTCAAACTTCATAAATGACGAGGATTGAGGGTGGCATCCCTTACTACTCCCGACACCACAGGCGTGAGGCTCCTTCCAGACCACCCAGCTGTTATTCACACTAAATTCACGTCATATTTGGTATACTACAACGCAGCCACGGGAAGAAAGAGAATAGGAAAGAAGAAGGAAGAGAAGAGGTGCGACCTCTCATGGTGCAGAAAACAACCAACGGCCATGGTGCCATGTAAGCACAAAGCCACCCCCTGGATGGTGTGCATAGTCGTTGGCCACCTCCAACTAATCACCACGACACCTTCGTTGCATGTATTCCTTTTGGCCTTATCAACCGTTGTATAACCATGATTCTTGGTGTTAAATCTTATTAGATCGATGGAACATCCCACA